AGGTTGTTCTTCCCTCTTACTGATCAGAAATTATTAGAGAGACCAGATTGTTCCAAATCTCATAATCTTGTCATCCAAATGAGTAAACCTTTCTAAGTGCGTCAATGAAAACTGCATATTTGAACAACATTTTGTTTTTCTGAAACTATTCCAAGTGACTCCAACTTCATCTTGGACGTAATAGTTTTGCACAAAAGAAAGATGCATTTAATCTCAGCTGTAAGGGCATGGATTTGCCAGTTCTGTACTGCTGTCATTTGTGAAAAATGGCTTTGCCTTACTGTGTTTCTTTTCATCATCCTTGCTTAGTGGCTGATCAGCTTCCGATAATGTGGTTACTTGATCTTACCCTGTGAAATTACAATCCATTATCTCATCAGGATGTGTTCCTGGAGGGGGATTTTAAAAATGCTGTCAGTAATACACATACTCAGTTGAAATTAAGTGAGGACATGAAGTAAGCTTACACAGCTGCAAAGTAGAGGGTATCAGCACCTGTCCTTCATTAATCCACTCAGTCCGCTCTAGACTGTGAAGTGGCATGATGACATACAGCCACAATGAAATACATGGAAACTTTCTCTCTGTCTGTTCTTTGAGGACTTCCATCTGCCTAGATGCTGTCTTGTTCCTTGCTTTGCTGCTTGGCATGAATATGGGTGCTGAGATTGGCGGCGAGCTCATCACAGTGCCTTTCCTCAAATAAGCACATTAATGGCTCAAATGGCACATTACAGTGGACAAATCCTGTTGTGAAACCCTGAAATGAAGCTGAACATTTGGAAGCAAGTTCCTAGCCTTTGTTGATTGAGGTGCCTTTTTATTAGGCAGAATTGATGATGCAATAAGGGGACTTCATGACATATAAGGGCCAATGTGTCGAAAAACTTGTTGCTGTTAAAAGGCAAAGGTTTCTTAAGGAGATGCTAAAGGATGAGTGCAATGCTTTTAAAATTCTGCAGGTAAAGGTCAGTAGAATTTTCCTGAAAAGCAGTTCTTGAACAAGTCTGAGTGACATTTCTTTGTCTCCAAGAAACAATGGGGTGTAAAGCATATTGTCTGTGAAAGGACTTAAACTGAACAGTATTGATCTCCCTGTATGACTATCTGCAAAATACCAAGACTGGCTTAAAAATCATAGGCTCTTGTTTTGAAAAGTATTTTTGTTTCTAGACCTGTTGAGGTCAAGTTTTCAATCATTTCTTTATGTTTCTAAGGGCTATGCATTTACCCAAGTGAAAAAGAATAACAAAATACACAAAAAACCATGCATTTCCCATAGTTATGTACTTCCAAATGCCATGTATTTAGGGGAAAAGACCATTAGTCTCAAGTAATGGGAGTTAATAACACCAAGAATAGCACAATTTCACTGATTTAATTTAAACGAGAACTGAAAATTCTGAGCTGCACATCTGTAAATATGCTGTTTATTGACAATAACATTAAAAAAACTGATCAAGCAGGTCACCTAGAAATATTTCTATGGGCCTCTTCGTCACCAGGAGCATCTCCTCAAGCTTATTCTATGCTGCAGTCCCACAGCTGTCTTTTACAATATATCCTGACTGTCATCAGATTTGAGCTCTGCATCATGCTGTACTTATTTTGGTAGAGAAGTGGGTGTGTGTTTGTGTGTGATAGGGGCTGAGGGTGGAGGTTTCACTTTGTACTTCTTGCAGATAGAGTTACTGTGCCTGTTCATTGGTTTGATGATTTCTCTTACATCTCTTGTGGATATCTCTGGGGGATAAAATAAGCGTCGGCTTTCGATTTGATTTGCACTGTGAATTCACTTCTAATTGGCACCACCTACACCAAAGGTTAAAGTCAATATTTTCAGTTTTCAAAGCCAGAAGCATAAAGGCAGGCTACCAGAGGGAGATATTAAACAGCTGGCAAAACTCCATTGCTGTGATAGTCAGTGGTAAAAACTTCTCCTGCGGTGACGAAATGGGCACTGGAGATCTCTGGGCCCTGCTTTGCAAGCTCCCTTCTCACAGCCTCTGAAGGACGTGGCCCGACGCTTGCAGCTTTTGGCTGTGCAATGTTTCCATTGCGCAGCTCGCAGGGTCGGCAAGGCTGTTATCTTTTGCTGAGGAGCCCTGCCAGTACAGCTGAAGGGGAGACACATGGGTATATATCACTTTTGCCCTGTCCATTAGATGAGGTCTAGCTCGGACTTCGGCATTATTCAAAATGGCTTTAGGATTGTTTTGTGCATGCTTTAAATTGATTTTGAGGCTGCTAAGGTAGGCATATGCCGGTGAGGAGATCCCAAGGTGCACACAAGTGTGTTATTGGTTTGTTTTTCTTTTTACCATCGTCTTTAAAGACTGGGAATAACAATATTGAATTCCATGTACTATACACTGCGATCTTAGATCTGTGTTCTTAATTTCTGACATCTGGGCTCACATACTTAAATTTCTAGCATGCTTCAGAAATGCATTCTACTTATTACTAATATAATATGGATAACAGAATCAAACCAAATATTTAAAAGCATTAACTCCCAAAATAATCTTAAACTCAGCCAGATGAAGCTGGGAGCCAGACAAATTATCGTTAATGTTTTTCCAAATGAGTCCGTTGTCTCAAGTTCTTAAATCCGTCCTTGGACAGCTCAGTAAAAGGAGACTGAATGCATAGCTACACTCAAAAACATTAAATCCAAGACTGAAATGGGGAGACAAATCCAAGATTGAAATGGGGAGATGTGGAGCAGCGCTGATTAGATCACACGCAGTACCAGGCGTATGGCCACACAGCTACTAAACACGGGTGGTGAGGCCATGAGGCAGGGTTTGTACCACGTATTAGTTCAGTCCTCCTTTAGCAAGGGGATCTCACTGCTTGTTTGCAATGCAATTGAGCACTTGGACCCAGCATGTCTTTACCTACCAAAAATGTCCCTTATAATCTCCAAAAATCTCCAAAAATCTCCAAAAAGGGGACATAGAAGTGAGTACTGGGAGTGACCTTGGGAATCCACTCTGCTTTCAGCTGTATGACCTACTGTACCAAACCCCAACATGCTTTGGGTTCTGGAGTCGTTTCTTGGGGGGCATTGTTTGTGTTCTTTGGTGTCACAAAACCAGTAGGAAATGAATAACCCTGCTTCCACCAAGCATTCTGAGTGCATGGGATGAAAATTCAGTGTGTGAAGGGACTGAAAGAGGTGACTCTGCTGCTAACTTAAGAGTTGACAATCCGTGAACTGAAAGATGGCCATTTCTAAGGAGAAGGGGAAGCACAAAACACGACCAAAGATGAAAAAGAACTTCAGAAGCGCCTTAAGGCCTCAGCTGAGATCTTGTGAAATCTTTTTGTGTCAGTCTGTCTGCAAAACACAAGGTGCAAGAGAGCCTCACGCAGAAAAGGCATGTGGAATGTGGACTGGAAAAGCAGGAAAACCAGCAGTTCCCTAACACCTCACAGGCAATCAGCGTCATGAGCAGAAACTGAATGCTGAGCCTTAGTTCCTGCTCAGCACTTTGTTACCTATTTTGTCATGATCTGTACAGGTTGATGCTTGTTTCAAGATATTACATTAGAGGGGTGGAAAAAGTCCGCTACTGGTGTCACATTTCATGTGTGTGATTGTTCAGAACTTAAGCACACACATAACTTGATCTAGCATGGATTATTCCATCAACAGCAACTAGATAACTCATACACATAACGATGAGCGTGTTTGTGAGTGTCTTTGGGAGAGGAGCTTTAGTTTGGAAATTGCCTTCCTTTGGGAGTCCTCCTCACTCTCATTTTTAATTCTTGCAACAACTTATCAATTAGCTTCTACATCGTTTCAGAGAGCTTCTTGTCATGTGTCACTAGATAAGATGTGATGACGACTAAATTTTCTGCAAGTTCTGTTAAGTCCTGTGCTCTTCCCAACCTGCCTGCTAGTGTGTGGTCACTTTTATCTTGTGGATTTTTTTTTTTTCACTTAATTATATATCCTCAGTGTTAGAAACTTATTTGACTTTGTAATAACGATTGTAGTTTTCCTGAGGTTTTACCATGTAGAAATGTGTTCAGAACTTACTCTGCATCGCCACAGGAAAGAGCTGTCTGCAGAAGTCTGTGGCACCCTTCTAACACTGTAATCCTACGCAGCCCAGGGAAACTGATGGAGAATCTCAGGATGGAAAAGTGCTGCTAGTTCCCATAACAGAGTCATACAAGGAAAAATGAAGTTTATATAAAGCTTGGAAAGCCCTTCAAGAGAAAATCTGTTGTTTTAAGTAATGCTTATCTTTACCATAGAGGCTACTTTTGTTTTGCTGCAGAATTTCATTGTGAAAATTAATTGTCAGGAAAGAATAAGACAGTTGTATAATGATCCAAGCCCTGAATTAGTGTCTTTATAGTTATAATTTCCTTTATTTCTGGTGATTTTCCCTGGCAGAGCTGCAAGGAAAGCTCTACCCCATTAAATAACAGAAAGTCCACACTACTAAATACAAGCAAGTATGAGCTCCTCTTTATATTTGCAAGCAAACTCTACATTTTGCTGATGAACTCCTGGCATTTTGTTAGTAACTATTTCTAGAATAGATAACGTCTGATACAATTTTGTAGACACATACTAAGGGTGCACAGATACATACACACTTACCTATATGTATGCGTGGACACTTTAAACATCTGTCTCTGTAGATAACATGTCAATAGATAACAAGTGGAGTTTGCTGCATTCGTTCCTGACTCCTATGGGGCTCTGGAATTTCAGGATCTGCCTTCTAATAGGGAATGTCTAGATGTGTTGTTTCAAATGCTGGTTTAAGTAAAAAAAAAAAATAAATAAAAAGCAGCAGCAATACAGCACATCACAATGGCAGGTTAAATATAGACATGGATTACAGAGCCATTTTTTTCACTCCTGCTAAATAAGAGAGTACTCTTAAAATGGAACGCCACTTGACCTTTCGTGTCTCATCAGTCTGTGATTGTATTTAACTGAGGCAGGGAGGAAACATTTTCCCCTGGAACTCTCCCCTGTTGATATGACGATCGCCGCTGCTGGGTCACACCATGCACAGGAGCCAGACACCCAGCACTCCAGAACACCAGAGGGATCTTGCAGCCCATGAAGGAGCTCCGTCCATGTCCCACAATGACACGCGCCCTCTTTTCAACTTCTCACAGCTTGGGCTCTCTGCTGGCCATCCTAAACCAGCCCCAGCGCTCAAACATTCAAAAATCACTTACTTTGAAGTGGAAATTCTCGATGTGCAAAGCAAGAAGCAGATCTGCATCGTGGACAAGGTGAGTGTTACGCCAGCACGCTGGGGACGTGCCTGGTTCACACGTTGCAGGTTCAGGGACTCTATTTCCACTCTGTTGTGGTCTTATTCTGTAACAGAAATACTTCCATTATTTTCTCTGGGACATACTAAGAACTTCTTGTTAGTCACAATCCTTGGCTGTTTTTCTCCAGGATTTTTACAGATCCAACTCTGGCTTCTTTTAGATCTCCTGACTGCTCTCTGGACTCAAGATACATCCTTATGATGTCTGTGAACACTTAGATTACAGTGTTAATTTCAAAGCACAATTCTTAAATGTCTGCTTCAGAATGGATATTTAGTTGTAATACATTCGTAAAGCTCAGCATCTCTCCAATGCTGTGGGTTCTTGTTTGTATCTAAATGTACTCAGCTGCACCCTACTTAGCAGATTGGGCAGGAATCTGGCAATTGTTAATTATTTTTTTTTATTTTTAAACAAAGGGTCTTAGCTAAAAGAACCGTTGCTTTTTTAATAATGTGAATCAAAAAATATAAATCACAGTCAATTGTATAAGTAAGGTGAGAGGACTGGGTAGGAAGGAAGTTTACAACACAGTAAACAACAGCTGAAAACTTGCTTCATAAATATTTTCTTCACAGTTTCTGTGATTCATTGTCCCTCAGCACTAGAGCTGGTCTCTTGCGTGCCATGAAGATGGGAATCCTAATCTATTTAGACTGTAGGATTTTTCAGCAACATAGTAGAGTTTTGAGACTTACTGTTTTGCTAGAAGAAAAAAGTAAACATAAAAAAACCCCTTATCCTCACTGGCAACATCTGGAACTGGTGGATAAGTGTGTTTCAAATGTTCAATTTAATGCCTTTGAAATGCACAGGATGGAATACTACCGGATTTATACTGTTCTTGATAATTTAAAGGACGTTTTTGCAATTTGTATGCCTAATTACAAGTAAATGTCTCATTTTTTTCATACTTAATTTTTCTGATTTTTTTTTTTTTAATCTAGCCAAAGGGGAAATGTGCATAAAATGATCAAGCAAATATGATGACTATTAATACCAGTTCTAATGATACTGTTATCATTACTTAATAAGTGATATTTATACAGTTATTAAAAGGGGTTATCTAAATACTATACTGAATACGGGTTTGATCCAAAAAAGAACTGAGTCTGTTTCTTATCTTAAGCTTTTCTATACTGTCATTAGAAGAAATACTTTAGCAGAAACAGAATTGGCGAATAGCCACGTTTCAGGAATCCTTGCATGGTGCATGGAAGAACTGTTGTCTGCTGGGACAATATCAGAGCTGCATTTAATCTTTATTCTGAAATTTGATGAGCCTGAACATTTTCCACACCTTCTCCAAACTGCCCTTATAGTGATGGAAAGAGAGTTACAAGTGGTGATTGCAAAGTACTCTCTATACAGGGGTAAAATACACAAAGAGGAGCCATAGCCGCTGTAAACTGAAAGTTTCTGCTCAGAAATATATGTTCAATTTACATGGCCAGAGCCAGCAGCATGAAGCTTTTATTATTATTAGGGTTTCTCTTGGCACAGTACCGAGGGATTGGTGCAAGTATAGTGCAGGGCTGAGGTTTCCCACTCTGCTTAAAGAATTCACCTGACTAAGTCCCTTAATTTGCTGTGATGATCCCTTCCTAAGTCTACCCTGAAAGTACAGGAGTTCCTCACTTCTGTGAACACTTTTTAGTATTGATGAACTTCATTTCAGTTGGTTATTAGAGTGAGCAAGAGACCATTTTACTGGATTATGCATAATCTTCTGCTTAATTAAATATAACGTTGATACAGACCCAACATGACACTTCTAATGCCTGTTTTCTGTTTGTAAGATAATGATGATTAGCTTCATTTCTTAGGGTTGCCTCTAATTATTACTTGTCAGGATTTATAACAGGAGAGAATGGGAATCATAGATGTTAAAATGTAGGTATTTACAATCTTATTGCATATTGTTAGTAGTTTAGACTATTATGATTTAGCAAATACATTTGTAATAGTCTCATATTAATAAATCAGAATCATAGAACACTTTGGGTTGGAAGGGACCTTTGAAGGTCATCTAGTCTAACCCCAATCCCAAGGGACAAACTAGATTACAATGGCAGAGAGAAGACCCCTTTCCCTCTCCGCCTAAAAGAAACTCAGGAAGAGTGATTAGATTATTAACATAATGTGGTTAAATGCCAGTTACTCCTTCCAGAGGGTTAGTTTCTAGAGAGTCTCTCACATATACATATGAATCCTATTGAGATTAGTGGAAACTCTGTAAAGTCTGCAAAATGATGATACATCTAACTAGTTTTGGTACTTAGAAAGCAAAGATGTCTTGTGCTTAAATGCAGTGTCAGGGATTTAGAAGAGGTGTGTTCAGCTGTGTGATCTTGAGCAATCAGTTGACATCAAAAGGCTTGTGATCCAGCCTAAGTAACTGTGAATTAATTCTCCATCTGTAAAATGAAAACATCATTATTTTCTTTGGCTTTCTTACCTATCCTACACTTTGGGGAAGGATCAGTCACTTATATTAAGTGAACTGAATATACTATAAGGTCTTGATTGTCTTTAAGATTGTCTTAAATTAACAGAATAAATACATATTTGCCTGGTTTTTAAGCCTGTAAAATACATTCATATCATACTGCAGGCTTTTCTGCAGTCAGGAAAAATATTGAAAGAAAGTAGTAGAAGAGGAAAACCCCAGACATTTTGTTCCATAGTCATCCCCTTCAGGAGCTGGATCTTGAAGAAAAATACCCAATCTTACAAAACTTGAAGTAAATTCACAAGAGTCAGGAACATTGGCAGTTCATTTTGCACATGCATACTTTGAGCATAAAATTCTTTATGAGAATATCATTTATTTAATATTGTCAACCTGCTCTGGGGACTTTCTCTGCTATGGATATAATATTATACAAGAAAGTGGTGCACACAAGCTTTTCCAGCAAGTTACGGAAAGAATTTAAAAGAGAAGTAACAGCAGTGTGAGATCTTTTCCCCCAGATTTGCTCTACATACAGAAATTTGTTCTGAGGTGAGATGTCATGGAGAGGAGGCTTCAGATTCTGGGGATGGGGAGAGAAGAGAGAAAACACAAACATGCCTTAACATTTTTTTTTTCCAGTTGTTCTACAAAATGTCCCCAAACTACTGTGGCAGGACAGCAGGCACCAGCAACTTGTAGACAAAAGGGAGCTACCTTTGACAGTTGCAAAAAGGCTTCAGAAAGGAGTTAGCAGGGAAAGCTAATTTAAACCTAGCCTACAACCCCATCCATCTGTCCTTAAAAGCAGTACAGAAGTGGTCAGAGGAGGTCCCAGGGACTGCAGTCACGTGAACAGAGGTATCCACACCCTGATGTGATGGCCTTGATGTGTGTCCATGTGTGTGGGTCAGTTTGAATGACAGTCCTGAGTCTCTTTTCTCTTTCCCTTTCCCTTTCCCTCTCCCTCTCCCTTTCCCTCTCCTTTTCCCTTCCTTTCCTTCTTTCACCCCCTTCCCCGCTGTCCTGCTCCCCGGGGGAGGCAGGCTGGTGTCCTCACACACAGCATGGCTTGATGGGAGGCAGAACATCTTGCCTGATCTGAGGTCCCTCTATGGCCCTGGAGAGGATTTCTCAGAACAGAAATACGTTTACCTGAGCAGGCAAAGGCCTTACAAGAGCTGGTGGCTGAAAGCCACAATTAGGCAAATTTAGCCAAGAAGTTTGGTCTGTATTTTGTCAATCAGTCAAGGGGTGATAGGTAACAACTGGGCATCCTGTGGGTGAATCCTCAGTCTCTTCAACATGCAAATTAACTGAATTTTTAAAAGATGTTCTGTAGTTGAAATGTGAGTCATACAAGTTGCTCGCTCAAGAAGGGGAAGAAGTGTTCAGCAAGAGGTAAATCTCATCTCTGGCCAGTGTGAAGTAGTAGGTGAGTCTAGATGATCAAAAGTCCGTTTTTTTCCCGCACAATTTATTAATTTATATGGATTAAATTAATTTCTGTCAGAGAGGGCATGTAATTAGTGACTTCTTATTAGAAATATTTGCAATGAAAAGGTGTCCCAAAACGTCTAAGGATTTTTGGCTCACATATTACTTTCAAAAAATTGTAGAAAACAACAGAAAACGAAGGAAAATAATTCCTTTTTGTACTTTTTTAACAAATAATCCACATTTTTTCATTGTCAGCTACAACCTACGAAAAATACACAGCTACTCAAAAATTGTTTTACTTGCACATTAGTCCAAAAGCGTGATGTAGGTTAGTTTTAAAGTTATCATTGTGCAGTGATTCGATTTATAAATGCTGTTAAGGCAACTCATAACTGTTTCCCTTATAGCATTCATTGCATAATAAATTTTTCTTCAGATTAACTTGTAGTAAAATGTATTTTCCCACAAACATAGTGCAATATAATTAATTTTGCATGAGTTGCTTTTAAGGCAGAAAATATTACACGATATACTTTCTACAGAATAAATCACCTTTGAGGAAACCAGCAGAGAAAGCTTTTTCCCTGTCAAAAGCCTTAGAGCTCAGTAGTTTTGTGCTCTATGATTTTGCAAGTTAAGCTATAAGCAGAGGTGCAGCTCAGGTTTTGGCTGCTAAACAGTGGCCTTCATTTCCAGAAAATTTCTCAAGGCTCAGAGAAGAGCTCTTCCTTCCTAAGGCATGCAGGAAAGAACCTCTTTTCTCGGTGCGCTGCAAAGATGATGCAAGATACTTCCCTCCTTTTCCTTAAATCAACCCTCCATGCACCAGCGCCCTCTCCCGCTGACGTTTTTTTGAAAAACCCAGTTACTGATAGTTGAATGTTTGTGGTTAGTGATATATACTTTAGGAACTTTTAACTCCATGTTTATGAGTGTAGACACGCCCTGTAATGCCTACAATGAAAATCACAAGTCTTCTTGCTGTTAAATATTACAGAGTATATGTATTACTACATCATTTGTCAAAGATGAATTAGGTTTTATTCTGATTACTCTGAAAGGC